TAAGATATAATTTTTATAATTATTAATTAATTTATAAAAATAATATATTTTATTTTATAAAAAGAAAATAATATTACTAAAAACTTAATATATTAGTTTATTAAATACATTTACGCTAACTATAGACTATTAAATAAAATTATTTTAAATAAAGGCTTAATATTTACTTTTAAGTTTTAGTAATTATTTATAATATAGTTAAGATTAAACTATAAATTTAATACTATTTATTACCTATAAATAAATAAACAGACAGAAAAAATTAACTAAATTATTAAAATATACTTAAAAAATTATATTAACTTTAATTAAAATAACTAAGTTAAACTTTTACTTATTATATAAATCTCCTATAATAGTATATTAGTAAAATTAATAAAATATTTACTATTTTATATAAATTATAAATTTAAGCTAGATATTTATAAACTACTAAAGAAAAAAGGAAATATATAAAAAGTTATTATTATAATTAATAATATTAAAAAACTATATAATAAACTATAAATATAGCTTAAATTTATATAAAAAAGAATAAATAAGTTTATTAATATATAAAAGATTAAAGAACTAATTTTTTAGAAGGGAGATATAATCTATTTACTTTAATACTTTAAAAATAAAAATATAATAAATATTAAAATAAATTAGCTAAGTAATAAATTTAATTTTAAAAAACTTAAACTATATAAAATTTTAAAGAAAATTAATACTATTAACTATAAACTTAACCTCCTAGTATAGGTAAAAAAATAAAGATAATTAATATACCTAATATTTTATATCTCACTATTAAAAAAAGCATTAATAAATAAAAAAATAAGCAAGGTTATAAAAAATAAAATTATTATTAAAGGCAAAAAACTTAAATATAACGTTAAAAAACTTACTATAATAAAATTTAATAAAAAAACCTAATAATTTAAATACTTAGTAAAATAAAAAAACTATAATAATACTAAAAATATATAAAAACTTATTAAATACCTTAAATACTTAAAGAACCTTTTTAATAGTTTTTATTAAAAGCTAAACTTAAAAAAATTAATAAAAAAGGATTAATATTAAATTAATCTTAATTAATAATATTAACTGCAGAACTTAAAATTATAAAAGTAGTTAAATTAAATAATAATATTATAGCCTAATAAACAGCCTTCGCCTTTTTACACTTAACTTTATTTAACTCCTCTAAATCATTAATACCCTATATAACCACATAAATTATTTTCTCCAGCTATAAACATTTATATTTATAAAAACATTTAATTTTTTTATTAATAGTATAATGCTTTTCTTCTGCTTTTTTAAAAGTATTTTTAAATTAAACATAAAATATAATAATTTTATAAAGCTATATAAGTAATAAAGGATATATATTATATAAAGATTTATTATCCTATATATATTTAGTACAGTAAATAAAATCTTTTTTAAATATTTAATATTTAAAAAAATATTATTTTTTTTTATTAAAATAATAAATATAGTTTTTTATTTTAACTAAGTAAGAAAAAATAATCTTTAAAAAAATATTATAATACTCTGTCTTAAAATAAGATTTTTTATAAATACCTAATATAATAGTTAATAAAGAATAAATATTATATAAGAAAAGAAAAAAATATTAATAAAAGAATAAAAAGGAATAGGTACTTATATTAGATAAAATAAGGTCTTAAGGATAAAATTAATAAAAAGGGAATATTATATTATAACCTAGCTTTTATAATTATAATAATAGGCCTATTAAATAGGCGTCCCTAAATAAAAAACAGTCCATTAAACTAATTAAAAATAGATTAAAAATTAACTTCTTAATTTAACACAGGATTAATAAATTAAAAAACAATCCCTAGACAAATTAATAAAAATCCTCTTAATCTAGCCCAGGTTAACTAAATATATAAGTTTATGTTTTTATATTTATTCAGATAGTTTAAATAGCCAGTTATTAATATAGCAATTAAATTAAATTCAGCTACTATATCTATTAACTACGTAATATTAATAAAATAACGCCTGTACCTAACCTAACCGCTCCGCCAACATAAACTTAGAACCTAGAGGTTTGTCCCTTAGAAATAGCTAACCTATACTATATATAGGACCGGTTCGTTATAAAATACAGTAGTAATAGTACTATATTTAGTAATATTACTATACTATAATTTTACATTAACTTTTAAGTTAAAATATTTTATAAATCTGCACTAAAATAAAATAAAAAATTCTATAGTATAAATTATTAATGATTTATTTATTATAATTTGTTTTTTATATTATTTTTTAACTTGTGTTAATAATATTATGTAATTATTTATAAAATAGATTTTTGGTGGAGTTAGATAGTGCACTATAATGCGTTAGCAGACTTTTGGCTACAAATTGTAGTTCGCCCAAGGGAAGAACCCCCAACAAGCTGTAGCTTCTCTTGCAGGAAATGCGCAGCCCAGATACATTACAGTTCCCTACTCTAGTAATTCTGACGGTGCTTCTGTTGATACGATTTAGCCGACATGCATTCATGTATGTACAGTCTTTATTTCCTCCGCCACTATGGCCTAGGTATTAGCTTCTGATAATTAACAAAATGGAAATGCCAGCTCTCATATTCTCAAGTTCTAAAGCAAGCCTCATCCCAGCGACTCTACCTGAACAATCACTACTAGACCAGATCTCGCTTACAATGAACGCCTGAGGTGGGGAGTATAAGTTGTGACAAATCAACAATTGTGGAAACGAAACGCGCTGCAAACCGTGACCTGAGTCGACCACTTCTCAGAAGTCGCTATCTTTCAATATGGGCAAGTTGTTTGATAGTTTCTCTGCTGATGTCGTGGTTCCCCAACCAGACGACTTCTTTCCGATTGCTTCATATAGTATTTACTAACACTCTTGGATGAGTTAAATTTCATCACGCCCAAGCAGCACCATAAAGCGAGAGATGTTGTGGAGATTTTCTATATGCATGTAGATACTTCACATTCAATTGATATATTCAATATTATTGTCATGGTGTAGAGTAGACCAATCAGTGTAGCAGCAACCTTTTAAATGAGCTTACAAACAATTACTCACCCTGGAATTCTGGTGGGCCCACCATGGTCTGTTGACGACCAATTCTACCAGCAGGAATGAATCTTGTACAGGTAGGTCTCTTCAGGGCCAGCTGACCTGTCTGAAATGAGCGCGTCATGGTGACTCCACTCGATCCCATCCACTGAGACAACAGAACGATGCCTTCCACCAAGGTTGTTGCGTGGCGCTGACGAAAGAGGAAGTCGCACACCCCAAACTTGGAGTCGCTCCGAGAGCTCCGATGACCTAAGTCATACTGAATGTATGCCGCCATTGTGGAAGATTAGGCAAGTCGCCAAGTTTATCGAGAACTTCGAATGGGGCCAAATAGACACTCTGTACTATATTAATACCATCGCTGAATAGGAACATATTATTACTTCGTGGCAAGGATCCTGCTTACAAAATATTAGTAAAAGAACAAGGTGATACTACCGATAAGGTGGTCATCTCTCTCTTTCTTTTTTTTTTTTTCCAGATCTGGAAATCGTACTTCTAGAAGAGGGTGGATTAGTCTTCTCAACGATGATTGTTAAGATCTCCGCTTCCTTATAATAGTATCCTCCCATTCTTATGCTTATTTGACTGCTTCGCCTTTTATAGCAGACTGAATCCCACCGATTCTTTCCTTTGGCTAAAACAGTACCTTGCAGTGAATACAACTAGCTGAGATCGAAAACATGAAACCGACTGGAAAAGAACCACCGCTACCAGGCCTGCTTGGTCGACCTCATTCCTTGTTTGACAACTCATTCGTCATCGAATTCTTGCAACCGCCGCCTGAGCTGGATGCCTCGGTGCTTTTCCGGGCCACCTACAAGGGTGGACACGAGGCAACAAAATTGGGAAAACAGCATCCACAGGTAGGTTGAACTCTCTTTTCCTCAGAACAGCTGGTGTAAAGATTCATAATATGATAGTCGCCTCCACTACACATTCATTTCACGCAGTTCGAGTCCTTTTTTGTTGAAGAGGGAGCCCTCGGAACCACAACGACCTATAGTTCTATAGACACCATCCATACAGCCACAGGCAACTATATGCAGGCGAGTTCTGAACCTGGGCCGATGAAAATAGATGCTGTCCCAGCCCGGAACGTGCATGGCGTAACAAGGATTCCGCCCAGAACGCCACACAATTTCTGGCCGTGAGTGACCCTCTATTGTAATTTACCGATATGGACAACTAGACCTGACTCTTAGTAGTGTCTCTCCTGACCACTCCTTCTGGTCCACCCCCGAAGGACAAGAATACGAGAGATCCCAACCCAAGGGCCGCAGCTCCAACACAGTGTTTCTCCTTTGGGGCCACCCGAGGCATACAACAGTTCATTCGGCCGGCGCAAAATTCCCCACATCCTTCCCTCCAGATATGGATGCTGCGTTTTTTCTAGCCCTTCTTGGCCTTGTGGATGCCGTACACGGCCAGCGCCTCACAATGAGCCCTGGCCTAGGAGCAACCCTCATGGTGATGCAAACCGCGAGTGAATCGTGTCTCATACTTTTACCGAAAGCTTGGTGGCTTGGATCCCTGCGATGGAGGATACCTTGGACTGCACAGGTGATGTTAGAGTCTATTCGGAGCATCTTTGATAGGAGGAGCCCTGTGCAGATTGTTGATGATGTTATTGAGTCACAGTTTGTCAGACGACAGTGATCACGTTTGCGTGTGACATAGTTTGGTGTTGGATTTTCTGTTGAATTATTTCTTGGCATTATACTCTGGAAGATGGAAAGCCAACTTGCGTTATGGGCCTAATCTCCTAGGACACCTACCTACTGTAGTATTTCTTCCCGTAATGCGCCCCATTCCTGCTCCTCATCCAATCACGCCAAACCAGCTCTACCCCTTTACTTCTATCTCCGTAATACGCCTCATTTCTATCGCCGCACTAAATCAACGTGCCTAGCCTTTACTTCCCAGGTATCCCATAAAAACTGGCCATAAGTCCGATTGAAAGTATGTAAAAACGGTCTTTATGATTTTTAAACCCTCTCAGCTTCCCTTTTCAGCACGAAACGACTCAACAGAGAATTCCCCAACTGCTGGAAGCCATTTGGCAACGGCAAGCGAGGCTGTATTGGAAGAGGAGCTATTCTAGTGCTTACAATACGTGTAGCGGACTCAGCGCGAAGAAAATTACAAAAGCCCTATTGTAGTATAAGTTGAGAGACGCGAGCTTTCACAGCTGATCTGGTCGGATGCAGAGCTTGTTGGACGATCCCAGGCATGATTTGAGTGAGGAGCCGGAACCGGCCATTCCCATTGGGCTCGGAAGAATCCACTCGTTTGTGGTTGCCCAAACATTTGCAGCGCGCTCTACCAAATTTGTAGTGCCATAGGTCGTGACGAGATATAATGCAAATGCATTTCGTGGAGGCATTCCGACATCCAGGATGCAAGGAAGGAGGGTGGAAGTTTGAATATTTCGTTTCGTACGCGAGTTTGGCTCTGAGCAGGCGTATGGGTGTGATCATTGAGATGTCATCTCCATTAAACATACTATCGTTAAATATTCGAAATGCTGCTAGGATCTGAAGATCTGAAGTTTTCAAAAGATTGGTTACACTGCACTTAATGCCAGCGACGTAGGTGACCTTAAAGTAGCCTCTTCAAAATATGCATTGCCCGTACACTTCCAAGTGGTCAATAGCAGCAGCAAGAGTTGCGAAGTCTTTCATACAGCAACCGTTCGGGCAGTGGTAAAATTTCTGCTGATGTATTGGAGAGCTTAAGTGTTGATTCTAGGATGCGAGTTTGCTCAGATTTGGAAAAGAGAGCACTTATAGACTTCACTCTGGCCATCCCATGCCTCCTCTGTGACCTCGTATCAAGTAGTCTGAGACCAGTCGAGCAACTTCTTGGAGATGATACCATTCAGATCACGGCGAAATATACCGTGCTGAAATGAAGCGCTGCCTTTGCATTTGGTTACGACTATTTCACCTACCATGTCACGATGCTACTCTCATCGCGGGATTTCAGCATATTTATCACATGCCCTGCACCATAGCTACGCTTTGGTGGAGAATAGCACGCGCGGCGGGGTGGAGTGATTTAATTTACCTAGCATCAAGTTAATATATACATGTATGCTTACACGCAGTAAATTTAAGCTCATGCTACAAAACGGGTAGTTCGATTGAGACTTTTGCAGTAGTCCATGCATATCAAAGTAGATGCCTGCCGCTCGCGGGAAATATATAAGGCGCAGGAGTGCCTGCTTCTTCGTCTACCTTACATACTTCCAGGATATCTCTGCACTTTTAACCACAGACGCCCTCAAAGTCAATACAAGTCAAGCATCTTGTGATATGTCAGGTATGTATCTCTTTTTCCAAGCACATGCTTTCGCCATCGAACCTAGCATCGCCCTCACCCTGCTTTTCTAAGATGATATGTAGGTGATATAGACACAGACTCCACTCATGAACCAGGGTATCGTGTGATCCCTGATTTTCAAAGCGATGAAACGCCATTCGAACTCGACACTGTCCGCAATACCACAAGGGAGCGCCGGACTGGTTTGCTGCCATAGGGTAAGGCGGCGGCAACAGTCCATTTCCAAGCGTCGATCTGGTCGCTTTGCGACGTCGCTGGTGTACGCGTCGATGCGACGATGGGGAAAATAGGAACCTTCTCAAAGGTAATGGCTCGGTATTCGAGTTTCGTTTTCTGTGATTAAATCTAGTTCGGCTCACTCCGAGGGTAATGAAGTTGGGTCTCTGTGTAAAGTCTGGTTGCATTTCGCTCCTTCAACGGACACAGATGTCAACCCTTTGGATGAATGGATCCTCCGGGCACCCTTGTTCTTGCCTTCATCTAGTGTTGATACACTAGGTTCTTCACTTGCACAATTTTCAGCCGTTTGGAATGATTTCCACCAGCATGTCCTCCCTCATGTTTCTCGTCGGACCGGTGTTTATGTATAGGTGATTTCTCACGTGCTGAATAGAGGACTGAACCAGCTAGAATTGACCAATATATTGCAGTGACCAATTCTCCTATATGATTGCTCGTGATTTTTATTTTGCTGCCAGTGGCTATGGCTGTGAGTTGGACTGGGTACTTTATAGAACTGTCGGCATCTTCGTGCCATTCAATCGGTCCAAATGTTGCTAAATGCTGCCTCAACGCGGCAGTAAGATAAGACCGAGATTCTTTATTTATTTCTTGCAACGCAGTATTGATTCGTAGCGGACCAGCGCATGCTTTTCGTCTTTCTTTAGCGAGATTGAAGTGAATTCGCCCATGCTGTACACACGCAGTTTAATGTGGCACTCTGATGAGTTATTTCGACCCTTGCTATAAAGCTGGACTGCACCGTTCTTCGTTGTTTCATGTGTTCAGGAAAGTCCAAGTGTTCTGATTCGGGTTGCTACGTCTGGAACGGACAGATCGAGAAAAAAGGGCATTGGGTGCTGGCTTTTCGGTATCCCATTGACTACCGAAACTGACATAAGCAGCAAAGGCAGCAAGACGGTATTCTTTACGTCCTGCATTTATATGGGGGATCATGCTAAGGATTATAGGGAGACCACCAAACCAGCTTCTGCCTCCATATTGGGAAGCAGGGTATTCCATTTCCGGTGCGGCGACTACGATCGCCCCATAAGGGTTTGTGCAACCATCGACTAACTTCAAGTTGCACATAAATAGACGCAATGAGAAACATTTGAGAGCATTCCGAAGGTCTTTAGACAATAGGCGCAGATTGGACTAAACATGGAGACAATTCTTATAATATTGTTGAATTCACAACACTTCCTCCCTGTCCACTTATGGACCAGGTCTACTTTGGCCAGGCCCTCTTCCATTACGGCCACTTTTATACTAGGTTCCCTTCGTCCATGCCAGTTGTCTTTCCTCCCAACTAGATCCATTGCCGGGCCCGAGACATTTTGGGAACAGGTCCACTCATGAACAACGCGGAAGACACTTTCGGCCGAGGGCTGCTTCTCCTCCAAACCAACCCAATGCCACGGATATTTCGTGCACGCGACGTGAAGGACATTTTCGAACCTTGGACCTGCCATAAAAGTGGCTGTAATGGAAAATAGGCTGGTCCGAAAACTGGCGTGGTGAGAGTCTTGTATTATGAGAGCATCCCGGCCCCGGAAGCGGGCTTAAAACGAGAGTGGACTTGGTCCGAAAGTGTGCCGCATAAAGCATTGATTTAATAATGCGGCAGCGGGTGTTGGCCAAGTCTAACCGCCAGAAGCAATCGGGGATGTGCTCCTTGAGGTCCTGGATGTTCGTGACGCACAGCAAGACGAACACTCCTACCCAATCTCAGCATAATTACCAAAGGTCGGCATATCCGATAAATTCGCCACTTAGGATAAGACCGAAAGATCAGATCTATAGTAGGTCAATATGATCAGGAGAGAATGAAAACGTAGACGGGGTGAGTTCACTCTATTTTTAAGCAAACAGATATGCAGCTTTGTAAGCTTTGATCCCAGTAAGACATAAGTCGTGCACTTCTCCAGATGCGGCGCCATCAAGGCCCGGCCTGTACTCGTCCTCCGAGGAGCTAGCAGGATGACTCAGATCACGAAAGAGGACTAGGCGTAGAATCGAATTGGTTGGATTAGAGGCTATGATTATTGGAAGAGAGAGAGAGAGAGGGCCCCCTCTCTCAGCCACAAGCCTATTTAACCATGGGTGCCTGAGGCCCCAAATCAAGTAACCGAAGGGGTAGGTGCAAGCCACACCAGCACGAGGCACCGGAGAAAAAGGCTTGGAATCAGCCCTCCGGTGGCTGGGCATCTGACTCGATCGGCGGCTGGGCTTCAATACCCATGTCCAGAAGTGGACTGCCAACGCGCAGGGCAGTAGCTTTCCATCTCCGTGGTTTTGTGAATACGAAGCACGGTCCGCTTCCTACAGCTGTTCGCAGATCCGCCTTGCTCTACGGAGCTGAAGCATGGTACATCATGCATGTGCCCAGGCTCAGCTCGCCCACAGTGGGGGCCCTGCGGAAGAGACTTACCCACAAGGATACAGAATGCAGGGGCCTTTCGGGGGCACTAGCAACCGAACGCGGGACGATGAGAGAGAGAGTTGAGAAAAGGGCAAAGTCACTGCTTTCCGAACCCAGGAGGATGTGACTGCGAGTAGTGACTACGAGAACCAAGTACTAATGAGATGAGTCTGGTACGACGAAAAAGGCGTGGTTGCTTGGTGTTGAGGAGCCCAAAGATTTTAGGGTTGGCCCAACGCTCCAACAACTTGGCCGTTGTGGCTACTCGTCCGTTGTGGCTACTCGTACAGTGGCGGTGGGAAGCTTATTAGGCGGGAAGGGCTCTAAAATCCTCGATACAGGCTCTTAATAATACTCCGTACTCCCAGGTGCTTTGATAATCAATCCTAAAAAGGTACTCCGTAACAAAGCATCGCTGAATTAGAAATGCACTCCAAGCGGGCCCGAGAATAATCTTGTCCGCGCCCTGGGACATGACAAATCCCGTAAGGAAGGTGAAGTGACATCGGCTCACCCGTAATCGCGGTTCGATCTGAACCATCTTCAGTTCCTCCCAGCATGCCCGATGGGGAGTTTTCTTGCGCGATGGAAAGATCTCATCATCAACGACATAAAAGGTCTCTTTACCCGTCACCAAAGAAGCCATAATCATCATCTACGTCAAGTCGATGAGCTGGATGTTGCTCTTGGTTAACATTGGATTTCAGGGCAACTTTATTTCATGATGTTTATCCCTTACACGAATCCCTCTTCCAAGAAAGACCCTAATGCTCGTCGCATTATCAATACGCATGTGGCTGCCCATACCAGCGTCAATCGTCGGACATGCAGGGGCTCGGGGAATTTGCCAGGCGGCTTCGCGGGCTGCCTTAATTGGTTCTATGTCCCAGAACTAGCCATGCCACCCTCAAGGCCTGACCAGCAGGAGGCATCTGCTGATGATGAGGGAACGGTCTCTCATAACATGCTTGCACAGCGTACCGTGGCTCGCAGGATAGGCTGTAGGCCGTTTGCTGGCGGTAAATTCTACCCTCTCGAGAGCCAGGGAGATAATTCCCGCGGACCATTACTTCTGCATGCCCTTAGTCATTGTGAGTACAGCTGGTCAGGTGGCATTCTTCCAACCCTGTGCCTTAGGCCAATTCATTATCTACTCTTCTCCTTCATTGTGAGCCGCGGCTAATTGGACTGGACTGGACATCCTGTTTAAGATTTTGACGTTCTTCTTCCATACGATACAAATGTCCTCGGTCTGGGAAATGCAAGAAGACATCGTTACGCGACAGAGTTACTTGCATGGACATATGAGCACAAGGAGGTGCTTCATAGCCTGGCAGCATTTAGTCTATGCATCTTGCGCGACAGAGATGGCAGTAGACACCTCTATCAGGCGATCCTGTACCACCGCCAATGTCTTCTTAAAGCTGTGCGTCAGAAAATTTCCAGCCAGGAGATAGACGAGGTGCTGCTCCACAGTCTTTGCATGATGATCTCTATAGACGAATGCCTTATGTTCAACGAGTATCGCCAGGTGCATTTAAAAGGGCTGCAAGATGTTATACAAGTTCACAAAGTTCAGAATGCAGCCCGACATTCGCGCTGCACTGTCGGCCCTGATCCACCTGCAGATAAGTCGCCTATGGAGATGGCGGTGGAGGTAAAGGGAGCCGTGGTGGAATTCCATCTGCAAGTTAACCTGGCATTTGACAACAACACGACGGCAATGCTAAGCCCGAGGACTCTCCCACCGTACTCCTTGGATGCCCTGAAAATGAGAGCCTTGAATTTACCCCCTGGTTTTAGTGATCTCATTTGTCGAGGTCTTCTCACTGAGAAGATGGTTGGCCTACTCGAGAACTTCGCTGCCTGGTTTTTTAAAGGGATGGGGACGGAGGCTGCATGCCGAGAAACCTGGCGATACTCGAATTTCCACCCAGCCAATACCCTTGAGAAGTGCATCGCTATGACCCTTGTATGTTTGGCAGATGATTTAAGCGCCATTGGCTTGCATCCGTGTGCAGTAATTTTTCGGCAACCGAACCAGCGCTCACAGATTATCTTATCCTCCTCGGAACTGTGGACTCCACCTTACCTCGGTGGCCTTGTTACGTGGATGTCCACTGTCATCGCAACCCCGCGCAGGGAATCACTTATCGAAGGAGATACTCAGATGGCTCTGTTAAGGGAGTCAATAAGGCATATGAAAGTCTGCCGATCTGTGGAGCAGGTTGAGGCAATACTGCAGGGTTTCTTCTATGATCAGAGTCGTGCTGCGGAGTGGAGACGAGTGTGGGGGAAGGCTCTCGTCTTATAATGCTCTTCGTTCTTTACCTTCATTATTTATATCTCAGTCCTGCTCATGCTATCTGTCTGACAGTTACTGATCATAGCTATACACTGTAGTTAAAGAGCGCCAAGTATACGTACTAGAGACACAGACCAATGCAATTATGTCTATCTTTCACATGTAGCACTAGTAGGTGGCTGAAAACACGAGCAACAATGCCAAACGCAAATCTTAGCGTCCGCCTGCGGCAAAATCCCCAAGCCCATAATCCTCTTTAATCATGTCAGCGGCCTTCTCCGCAACCGCGTACACGGTGGCCACAATATTTCCACTGATATTGTTTGGAAACACTGAAGCATCCACAACTCGCAATCTTTCAGCCCCTTTTACACGCAGACGCGAATCGAGAGCATCGCCCATAGCAACTGAACCGCAGATATGGTACTGGCCAGCAATAGTGTCCCGCACGGCTTGTTTAGCTTGTGATAGATCTTGCATGTTGAGCGATTGGTCTGGGAATGAGCGGCGATCAATGGAGGAATTGAGAGCTTCGGCTCGTCCCATGCGGTCCGCCCATCGGAGGAAGGCGGCGACCAGGCTCACGTCTGCCTCGTGTGTGATGTAATTTGGCTGGATTACCGGAGGGGTTGTGGGGTCTAAGTAGGACGCGCATTAATGAGTCGAGAGAACTTTCCTAAGCAGTAAGAAGATTATCTTGTCGCAGGACTTACCGTTATTCTGGATATGGACGTACCCGCGGGAGACTGGGTACACTAGGCACAATCCAGCAGTTACGCGAGCTGGCTGATCGGCCGATTGCGGTGGAAACAGTTGGCTCTGGTGTTCAAAACCGGCGGGATCAGTGGTCGCAGGGACAAGCACAATCTGTAGATTTGCCGAATGATCGCTCTCCAATTGTGCGATGATCTGCTGCAATTGCTGCGCATGAAATGGCGTTGTAGATTTCGTGTCACGAATACTCTGAATCACCTCCCCGAGCTCTGTTGCCGACAGGATACTCTTGACTGGCAGAAAGCCCTGCATGCTTCCGATCGAGCTCAACGGTCCGCTTCGGGTTGCCGTATATTGCCCTGTAGCAGCCTGCATGGCTTCGGGGACTTGACTAAGGGTATCAAGCGTGATCACTCCAGGCCTTACCTCCCAAGTCATAAGAGACATTGAGTGATCTTGGAGATTATTGCCTACAGCAGGATTCTCAACCATGCACTGCACTCCGGCGGCTTTCAACACCTCAGGGTCCCCAATACCGGACAATTCCAAGATCTGAGGCGACTGAATGGCTCCTGCCGAAATGATGACTTCCTGATTGGCGGAAACCACATAGTCCTGGCCATGAACAGTCAGGCTAACGCCTGCTGCCCTATTGCCTTTTAGGATCAACTTATTCACATGTGCTTCGCACAGAACCTTCAGATTCGGGCGGGACCTGTTTGCGTCATAGTAATCCCTTCCGGCGTAGCTTCGCTTACCCCGATCCGGTCCCGTCCGGGCCACAGTCCCTAAGCTATGAAAGAACCCAATATGATCGCCACTCCAAGCATCAGCTGGCTTCTGACTAATGCCAGTAACCTCCGCACATGCCTTGATAATATCAGACTCGATTGGCAACTGCGACTCGTTAAAGCTGGTTTTTATCGGACCAGTTGCTCCGTGGTATTCGCGCGCTAGGGTGGGGGACTGTTGCATATGCGCAGAGTCCACAGGTTCAAGTGTCTAAAACCTGGTAAGAATACAGCCAACAGTTTAATTCTGCAATTCAACGAGATACAACCTGGTGTTTGCGCATATAGTCCTGCAGATTCTTCGCAGACCAGCCTTCGTCATCTACCAGTGCTGCCCAGTCATCATAGTCTTGTGAGGAACCGCGCGCATACATCATATAATTAATGCCGCTGGAGCCCCCCAAGAGCTTTCCGCGTGGAACATGGTGGACTTTTCCGTGATTGGCTTCCTGCGGTGCTGTATAAAAACACCAGTCATATTCGGGATTTTCAAAGGCCTGAGAAAATGCAGCGGGGGTATCGATGACTGGATCACCAATACGATATTTTCCAGCCTCAATGATCCCGACTGTAATGTTAGGGTCTTCACTTAGCCGGGCAGCGATAGTACAACCTGCAGTACCACCACCACAAACAAGGAAGTCAAACGAAGTGCGTGTGAATTCCTCGATAGAGGTCACTGGAGCCACGGGCTGGATATTGGACAAACTCTGAACCATGTCGAATGATTTTTCTTCAACACAAATATGAACACAAAGATGATGATATTCCTATCTAGCAAGGTAATGGTTCTCTTGCTTTTATGTTCAAACATGCGTCCGCACAATATCCCAAGTTGGCAAGAATTCGTAACCTACTTCGTACAATGAGCCAGTTTGTGCGCGTAAGCTACAATCTTTCTCTAGCTAACGAAGTTGATGACTCAACTTGATTTCTCTTAACTAGTGGCGTGGGGGTTTCGATTGGCCGTGCTTATAAATTTCTCTTGTGATTATTCAACATTATTGAAAATGCGCTCATCCACTACTCTATTTCTCTTCAAGCTTTTAGGCATCAGGAAATACCAGTCGTATTCCAGAGCCAGGTTTACTAATCACATGTATTGGTGGCTAATTATTTAAGTACAGTGTTGTGCCAGTGTGTCTAGCGAACTTTTCGGTTTCTCAGCGGTGAGAGGAGCAATAAAGTCACTTGCAGTATTTGTTACCGTTGCTGTAGAGGGAGCCCTTGAAAGGGGTCCGAATGCATCATGATCCGTTCTACTCTGATTATTGGCATGTTCAGAGGGGTTGCCGCGAATGTGTTCCCATTGGTCTTTGCTAATGACGGGGCATGTGTCCCCCAGGACCCATTGACAACCGATGCGACTCCTCGCTGATATGCCGGAAGTTAAGGCGCCGCTCGCTGATCTCGAAGCTGCCCTACATGATTAGCCTGCCGTAAACTGGGCCGGCCGTCAATGATTCGTGTCCTATCTGCCTATCCCGCGGGTTGCTATCCTCGTATCCTCCTTGTCGCTCTCACTGCAGTACCCTTCGTCAATCTGCCCATAAGGGCGTCTGTCCTATTCTCGCTGTTCGAAATACCGTCAAGCAATCGCAGCGGACAGATGGCTCCAGATGCTAACAGTGATGTCTTGATGGCAGCCGACTAGGCTGCCCATCTTTAATATGCGCCTCATCCGGGGGGATGTCTAGTAGGTGCCGGACCCTAGTTGCCATACCTGCTCTCTAGTCTTGATTTTCTTCTTATTCTCGCACGTCTACTTTCGTGAACTCCATATATCGCACATGTCCGAGCCATATCTACCGCCGTCCGAGTCGCCGCCGCCAACCGCGCTGGCAATCATGTCTTCCGCCGCCCATACGCTCGGGCTAAACTCCTTATTCCCAACACATTTACCTGTATATCTTCCAGAACCGCAACTTCATTCAAAGATAATAAAAGAATAGTGTCCCACGCTCGCGTGGTAAGCAACGGTGAATCATTTTTAGTTGTTCAGACCGTGAGAAGCCCTTGTAGAACCCTTCACAAGTATAAGCAGCCCACAGTCCACGATGACATTTCGTATACCACCATTAGCCGTGTTTCGGTGTCGTATCGTCAATATCTCGAGCCCTCGTGCAAGTTGCCCAAATGCAATGTGAACAAAAAAGAGTAGCAGTGCTAGGAAGTTTTTGATTAGCAGGCCGTATGGCGCTGTGTGACGTACCGGTCCTATAGGTGAGTATAAGTTAGCTGTTCCCAAGGGGTAAATCTCTAGATTCTAGGTTTATGTTAGCGGATTAGTTAGGTTAGTTACAGGCGTTCTCCATAAGTATTACATGGCTAGTAAAGTATTCTCTAAGTCTAATCTAATTACTACATTAATAACTAGCTATTTAAGCTGTCTAAATAAATAATATAAATAGAAACTTTTATACTTAGTTAATCTTAGGCTTATATAGCTTATAAAATAAACTACTAAAATTATAGTTTGTTTAGCCGATCTAAATAGTTATATAAGTTAAATACTATTAATTAGTTAGCCTATAGTTAATTTAGTTCCGTAAACTCTATAGGCTTATTAGTATAACTATAAGAGTTAAGTTGTAATATAATATCCCTTTTCTATTAGTTTTATTTTTAAAACTTTACTCTTTTAGGTATAAGTAACTTACTTCTCCTATTAGTTAGTTTATTAACTTATTCTTTCATTTTTTTTCCCAAGTGTTATAACTTAGCTTTTATTATTACAATAAGAGTAATTGTATTTATTTATTTATTTATTTATTTTGTTATTAACGTTTATAAAATAAGCTAATTATTTAAAACTTTATTTAGGTATTAAAAAATAAAAGCTATAGTTATTTAAATTATATATTTATTATATTTTAATTTAATAATATAAGACTTTAAAGCTATAGGGTAGCTAGTCTTATCACTGGTCTAATAACAAAGGGTCAAAAGTAGTTAAAAGTGGTTAATTTTACTTATTAAATTCGTTAATTAATTAAAGTTATTAGTATAGGAAACTTAGGAAAAACCTTTACTATTTATATTCTAAAAATTAATATTAATAGCTAAAATTAAAATATATAAAGACTATCGTTAAATAGCCCTAAAATTAAGCTATTTTTTAATATAGCTTATATATTTTAATTCCCTCTACTAGTTATATAATTATTAAGTATTTATAAGCTTTATTAAAGATTTATTTTCGTTATTAATAAAAAAATTAACTTAAGTTTAAATTTTATAATTTTTAAACTTTTTATAAAGCTCCCTTTTTAGGATTTTAAAGATTTATTTATTTAAGTAATTTTATTAACTTAAAACGCTTATATAAGTAGGATTTTAGCCTTCTAATTGGCTAGATTTTTTATAAAAGTAGGTTTTTTAAAATCGAATTTAATTTTTAAATTTTTAAAAAGTTATACTTTATAATACTTTAAAGTATTATAATTCCCTATAGCTTTATAAGTTTATAATACCTTATAGTATTAAGCTTAATTAAGTAATAGTTATTAAAAAAGCTATAAGCTAAATTTAATTAAATAATAGTTTATAAGCTATAAGGTAGGTTGGAATATTAATATATAAATATAGTTTATTACTAAAGGTTATAAAAGTTATAAAAGATAATTAACTATAAATTACTATAGTTAGTATTATAAATTAATTAAAAGGCTCTAAAAGGTATTAAAATAACTGCTATAAGTTTTATTTTTTAATTATAATAATAATTATAGTTTAATATATCTCCCTTAAAAGTTATATATATAAAAAAAATATATATATAATTTTTATAAAAAAAACTTATAGAAAAAACTTTATAAAAAGAAAAAAAATTTTATAAAAAAATTTATATATATATAAAAAAAAAATTAAAAAAATAATAGTTAAAAAACCTTTATTATTATAAAATAAAAAATATTATTATTTTAAATAATTTAAAAATAGCTGGTTTTTAAAATTATTAAATTTTATATTAAATAATAGCTTTATAAAAAAATCTATTATATTATTTTTAGATTTTATATAAAATATTTTAATTTTATTATTTTTAATTGTAATTTTTATAAAATAATATATAATTTTTATATATTTAGATTTTTTATAAAATTTTAAATTTTTAGTTAATTTAATAGTAGCTTAATTATCTGTTAATATAAATAAAATAATATTATTGTAATTTATATTTAAATTATTTAAATAATATAAAAATAAATTATTTAAATATATAG